AGTAACAAAGGACAAGGAGAAAACAGACGTATTCAACTGTTTTTGCCTCAGTCTTCACTAGTAACTGCTTTTCACACACCTTTCAAGTGCATAGGTTGGAAGGTGGGGACTGGCTAAGTAATTTCTCTCCTGGTGTAAGCCAAGATCAAGTTCATGATCATGTGAGGAATCCGAACATCCATAAGTCTATAGGTCTCAAGGAGGCTCACTCCAGAGTCCTGAGGGAACTGGCTGTTACAATTGCCAAGCCACTCCCAATGATACTTGAAAAGTCAGACAGTCAGGTGAAGTCCTTGGTGACTGGAAAAAAAGGCAATTTTGCATACATTTAAGAGTACAGACTTAAGATAGGACAAGGGGCAACTACTTCGAAGTAAAACAGTGAAGATTTAGACAGGATATGAAGAAAGAGCTTTTTACAATATAGTTAATGAGGCACTGAAACAGGCTGCCTAGAGAAATGGTGGATGCCCCATTCCTGGAGAAATTCAAGGTAATTCTGGACAAGGTTCTGAGCAACTTGATCTAGCTGTAGATAGATGTTCCTGTTCAATGCAGGGGAGTTAGACTAGATGGCCTTTAAGGGTCCCTTCCAACTCAAATGATTCTATGATACTATGGAAGTTTAAAAATTACTTTTTAGTTTACTGTTAGTTTTTAAAGTTTACATGGAAATTTTAAAAATGTGAAGGAAGCAGAGAACTAGAAAATTCACATAAGAACTTTTTTTGTCATTGAACACATACATCCCTTTTCAAAAAGTGGCAGCATTTCAGAACACTTATTCATCCTCTAACTCCCACGAGGAACAAACTAAAGATATTGTTCAAACTCTGAACTTCTAATTTGTAGATAATAACATAGATTATTGGAGTTTTTTTAATTTATACTGTTGTAGTAGAAAGAAAAGGTCTTCATTTTTCTTGACATACAATTCATTCATCCTCAGATATATAAGCAGAAGCCTGTGTAGAGATAATGTTATCAAGAAAAATGTGAGATTTATATGAATATTAGGCTGAATGCTAAAGAATGTTTCTCAAGAATGGCAGAGGCTGTTTTCCTCCACTGACCAGCTGATGATGTACTTCCTAAGAAAGTAGTAACACTTACAAATCACAGATACAATATTCCAAAAAGATTTATAATAAATAAATAAATGAAAATTGAAGTCCATCCAAGAATGATGGCACTAAGCAGCAATAGAATTAATACTTGTTTGGGAGACATGCCATGATAGTGGTATCCAGAGACACGAACTCATAAGAAGCTTAGAGATCAGAGGAGATTAAACTGTTTGGACTTCACAGGAACTTCTTATGACTAAACTCCAATCCCAAGACCACTTCTAAGTAAAAGCATGAAATCAACCAGCTTCCGGATTTCAAGAAAGTGGACTGAAGAACAAACTTTTCTACAAAATAATAATAATAATAATAATAATAATAAAAACAAAACAAAACAAAACAAAAAAAAAAACTATTACCTGTGGTAAAGATAAAATCGAACACCTTTGTGGGTTTTTTTTTTTTGTCTTATTTCTCTGAGTTCTTATACGTCTTCTGTACTTCACTTTCCTTAGTCCTGCAGGAAGAATTTCCAAATTCATACAGCTGTTGCCATAGTAAGGCTGGTCTTATCACCAGTGAGTAGAAACAATAACTGTGAGTACTTTCAAATCTGATTTTTTTTTTTTCCCCAATAACTTTTTCTTTCAAATTACCTTTTTAAAAGTCCTGAAATAAGTTTTCAGCCTTTCTTTCTGACACAGTATTATAGTCCAGTCAAAATTAAACATATTTGCTTAGGTCATTCAATAGCCATGCACCAAACTATCTTTAAAGGTAAAGCAGATCTAAAATACATTTTCTCACATGACATTTGGGTAGAAATCCTATGCAAATTTTAAATTCTTTTAATATCAGATACACTATTCTAATTTCTTACCATTGGTTATTTTAAGCTAATTAAGAACTACAACATGAATTGTATTTATTGACTATACTAAAAATATTATGAAAGGAAACAAATTATGTTGTATGGAATACACGTCCACATGGAAAGAATATGGAAATCTGTAATTCTTTCTATCCTAGGTGGGCAGAATTAATTTCAGATTTGATCACCTTGTTTCTTATCAGGATCATTGATGAGGAGGTGCAGAATTACTGCATTAACAGAAATCTGACAGCTGGATTCTAAGAATAATGGACAAAACTCCCGCATGTGTCTCATCAAGAAGACACAGAGGCCGAGTTTACAGTGATCACTGAAAAAATCTACTTGAAGAGAAGAACAATAGCTGTATCAATCTTAGCTGAAATGTCTGACAGCAGAATATCAGTCTCTTTCATAAAACGTGGTATCTGCCTAAGTGAAATTACATACCATGACATTAGTGAAAGACCTCAGTTTTCCTACCAATGATGGGATGTAATTATTTCATAAAAGTTAGTAGCTAAAGACAAACACCAGTAGCTAGAATCCTAAAAAACAACAGAGTACAGAAATCCAAACTGCAGTTTCTTCATGCTGCCTTCAGGGAATACCATCTCTGCCTTTACGAAGAGGAAAGAGGAGCTTTAAAGAAGATAGTTCAAAATTTTAATAAATAAAGAGTATTGTCGAGCTGTGAAAAATGGTTCTCTTCTAACAAAATAGAAAGAAATGCACTGGCTACTGATAGGCCTCTAGCAAGCAGCAACAAGGCAAAGCATGTGCTTTGGTTTTATCTGGAATAAGCGTTTCTCCTGTGCCCATGGGAAACTCAGTGGGTAGAGGTAAGCACACGTTTAAGCCTTTGAACAAATGGAATTTTAACAGTAAAATCAATACATGTGAAATTAGAATAAAAGGGAATAACAAAGTATGTTTTTCTGATTTAAAATAAAATGTGGAAGTAATAGTAATTTAATAGAACTGAATTACTGATAGATCCATTAATGAATAAATAAATTAGAAAATATTAAAAATTGTGTAACTTTATTTGAACAAAGATTTCACATTCTAATAACACCAGTAAGGTTTGTGGATTTTAATGCTTCTTTGTTCCAATGCTGAAGACTTAAGTGCTTAACTTCTGTCAACAAAAAAATTGAACGCAGACTTATAATTGGTAGTGCAGCCTGAAGTTTATGTAAGGGTGAGAGTTCAACTCTAAAACACCTGCAAAATTTAGTCCCATAGATCTATAAAACAGCATAGAATGTTTGTATGACAGCAACGTATTAGTGGTTGAGCTGGTTAAGTCGCACAAAGTAAACAGAATTATTCATTTCTTTCTGAAAACTACCTAGTACTTTCCAATTAATGAGCAATTTAAGCATTAGAGTGGAGAAAAAAAATCTTATGTTTATTAATTATAATTTTGGCAGGCAATTACAGCTACTGTCTGATACTATTTAAAGTATGATGGAAGCATGCTCCCAAGTGCTCCAGAAAAGAGCAAATGCTTCTTTACTGGCCTTCAGAACGATGTTTTCAGTTTCAGCAGCAAGTATGCAGCCATTAAGAAACAAAGGAAGTAGCACTGAATTAATGGCCCTTTTGTTTTCTAGTAAATTCATGTTTAAAGCTTTAAAGAGCTTAAATATTTCTCTTAAATATATTTTAAAGTGTGTCAAGGGCAGACAAGGGCACTTTTTCTTAGGTGTCTCTATTAGGAAAAACAGGAACACATTCTTTTCAGCTGTGATGAAGAAGACCCTTGTCTCATCTTACAAAGAAAGTGGTTTATTTCCCATATATTGGTCTTCTGAATATCCACAGAAATTATCTGTATTTGGTGAATACAGTAATATTAGTAAAAACCTAAAGAACTATCAACTAGTGAGTTACTAAAACATTTCCCATTTTTACATAACATACTTTTAAAATAGAGAAAAAAAGCGTTGCAACAAAATATTCTAATTCCCAACAGTACTTAAATATCAACCTTAGTCTCTAAGGACACTCATACTTTGCCCATCACCGTATTAATCTCTGTCATAACGCTCATTCACACACCATGAAAGCCTTTCGAATAAGCAAATGAAAACAGCAACTGAATCCAACAAAAAGGTACACCAACAAAAAGGAAAATATCTTAAAGCACTGCCAAATTAACCACATCCAATTGACTTGCAAGATTTACTGTACAAAACATGAAATCTTTGCAGATATTTGGTATTTTGTAATTGCCACAAAATAATTTTTCTTCTCCACTGAACGTTCTTGCTGCTGAGGTTGAGTCTGCCCTTATTATATATTTACACTAATGGCTAAGGTTATCTGGTTAACTCCATTGTCAGTAGTTCATCTACTTCAAGAACTAGAAACACACCAAAATAAGGACAGCTGTACTAAGTTCAGATCCCTGATCCAGGGAAATAGCAACTGTCTACAGAAAACCCAGCATAAATTACAGACATGCAAATACATTTATTTCCTGCCTCTCCATAACAAGGCTCAGCCAAGTAACAAAACAAGGACATGCTCTATCTGGAACTTTTTTGTACAAATACAAAAAAACTAATTATTTCTTATAATCTGTGCCAAAAAACTAATTATTTCTGAATCCTGTGCCTTTTTCTGCTGATTGTGTGCTTTATGACCTTTAAAAGTATGATCCATTGGAAATTTTAATTATGTTCCTAGAATTTTATTTTTTAGGTATTTAAGATCAGCTTCTTTCTTATTAACAAACTATGAATTAAACAAACAACAACTTGGCTTTTTTATTTTCAGGAACATATGGCAACATCTGTTGCTTCCCTGTTGGGCAATGACTTATTAGCAATGACTTGTCTGCTATATAAAGTAGGAACTGGAAAAATTTAAGTGCAATTAGAAATATATATAGACACACATTTAAGTATTTGCTCTCAAATTATTATTTTAAGTCAAAAGACTAAGTATTATGCCCATCGAGACAACTTTCAGTTCTTGTAGTGCAAATACGAATTGGTGTTTGTTAATGTCAGGATGTTCTTACTTAGTGAAATTAAAGCAAGAGAAGACACTTCAAGTTTCAGACATTTATTAAACCCCATCAAAACACTTTCAAACACATAACCAAGTGCAGCGTGAGGCATGTTTGAATATTTCCTGGATGATTAAGCATGTTAATTGTGCGGACAGCTTCCGGAAGACCTTTCTGTGCAGCTCGTGAAGATGTGTGTGTTCAGAAGTCAGGACGGTCCTTTTTGAGCTTACTGTAGTCTACATTAACTGAGTAGAACTAGGCAAGAGAGATAAATATATATATATATTGATCAGAATGAGAAACTCAATGATATGATATATACCATTAAAAACATCTATCACTTGAACGTGTTAGAAAGCTGAAATAATTGAGTCTCTACAATAAACAAGTATATACAAAAGAACAATTAAAAAAAATCTAGCTTGCCAAGTAGCATAAACGATTGTAAGTGTGAAAAAGCAGCATCACAAGGGAACATTTAGAGCAGTGCTGCTAAAACCTAGATTGGTTTAAGTAAACTTAAGTACTTCAGGTAAACTTAAACTACAACTGCAAGAAATAGCAAAGAAGAAAATAAGAACAGGTATAAACACTCATTTTATACTAATAAAGTTGGACCCTATTACAGACCATTTAAAACAGTCCAAATAGTTACTGAACACAGTGAATTTACAGAGTAAAGGTATATTTTGGCCTCCAAGCCTGAATTAACATCAAACACATGACTGTAAAAAAAAGCCCAGAACTGAAAAAGAAATTAAGATTCTTTTAATACATTTAAATTGCATTTTTTCTCTGCAACTCACAAAATAATCACCAAGTTTTCAACTCTTTTCTTTATAATATTGACTTCCTCAGTCTTTCCAAAAAGAGTTTTACTAAGAAAAGAAAAAGCAATTTCATCAAAAGCTAAAGCTCACTATTTTAACGGAGCTTTTTACTGAACTTTTGCTTCTCCATTTCCCACAGTACAGCCTTGGGAAAAAAATCCACAACGATACACAAACCCAAATATGGTAAATTCTGTGGTTGTATTTGTATGTTAAGGCAGATGGGAATGCTAAGGCACGCACTTCTTAAAAGAATTCATGCTGCGCCCTGCATTGAATTTGCCTCTTTTAGATATATAGGAAGCAGCTACATTCCAGAAATGATAATAAAAATAATGTATTACATTCTTTTTAGAATTTTAGGGGAATCACAACATATTTTATTCTCAAATGTTTTTTCACTTATCTGAATGACTGGCATACTAAGATACAGTGCTGAGTAAACACTAACAGAAAACATAGTATGTTTGCTTTCTTAGCAGTCTGAGGATGATTTTAGAACTGTCCTTAACAGAAGTCTTTAGTATATAGAGTGCCACTTCTGTTAAGTACAAAAAGCTTTACACATCCTCATCTGTTTCCTCATTAGTACCCTGAAATAGGTTGAATATCATTTAAAGAAGCATCTTATTGCATCCAATACTAACAAACAGTTTTCAAAAAATTACTTTCAAATTGTACAATTGCCAATTAGAGTTTATATTAAAATTATTAATTAGAGTTAATATTAAAATTATAGTTTATATTTAAAACTGACATTATCCTACTTTGCTTCCCATGAGTAAAGGCCAACAGTCTAGAATTCTAAAAGCTTTTGTTCAGAACTCCAGAGATTTTGTCCTCCTCCCTGCCATCTTTTTCTCCACGCATTATGGCACTTGTTTATTCTCCCTCTGTTATACAATTCCTCTTTCTTACACTGCAGCATATATATGACTAATTCTTTGCTTGCTCCACTATCAACCGATTTGAAGACAAGGTTATGAAGCTCAAACAACTCCATCTGTTATAACTGCAAAAGACAAATTGTAAGTTGCACAGCAGAAGAAATGTATCACTAATTCAGCTGCTTTCTAATAAACTCAAATGTCCTAATGCAGTAAGCTACATTTTTGGTACTATGTTTCCTACAAGTCTGTGATTTTCACTTTACCTTGTACTGGTCATTGGGAGCCAGTTTATTCCAAGGTTCTGGATTATTTTTCTTGTCCCAGCTATTGAGAGAAATACAGAACATGAGAACATACTCAGAAAATCACACTACCTTCAAAAGAAATAAAATTTATCTGTATACCATGGTTATTAGCCATGGACAGTCATCTATCTAAATAAAATTTCTGTACAACAAGCTGCAGTTCTTTGTGAGCAACCTCTAAATATTGCAAGGTAAAGTCATAAGCAAACCTCCAAAGCAAGGAAATCTTCTTGCAATCCATGGCAGTAATACTGGACCTAGTATACTAAGGCCTCCAGAAACAAAGACCAACATTCTGAAGTTTACTTTCACATAAGCAGCAAGATGACTGAGCACCGTAAGTAACTGTTTACATACCAGACATCAGGGTTGAACACTGCCAAACGCATGACGTACAGAGCTGCGCCAACACCTCCTGAGCCAATGATCAGAAACAGAGGGATCAACTAGAACGAGAAAGACTTCAGATGATGGACTGCAATGTAACAAGACAGTATTATTATGAGATTATCTGATAGCAATGACAAATCAAACAGCCAGCTTCCGTGTTCTCAGCTGTAACACTGGCCCTCTAAAACACTGCAGAAGGGCTCTGCGTGGTGTGTAGAAACTGACACGGAAAGACTGCTGCTGTATCAGTCACCAAACATACTGTAACAACGCATTTCTCAGAAACATTTGTTCGCTAGGGAGAGAGAGAGACGAAACCAAGAAAGGAAGAGGTATCTCGCGTCGTACTGGTTCAGACCCACACACAGCAAAGGCAGAAAAAGGCGACCGGGCCGCGTCCCGCCGATCAGCGGAGGTGGCACCCCGAGGCCGCGGCACGGCGAGAAAGGAGAGGGCGCGGAGGGCAGCGGCCCGGAGGGGCACAGGCCGCGCCGAGCTGCCTCAGCGACCGCGGGTACTCACACTGGGATGCTTCCTGGCGTGGCTGACGATAACACGAAACATAGCTGCAGCGGGCGATGGTCTCCCTCCCTACCCGGCTCCAGAAACCGTCCTGCCCCTTGTGCGGCCGAGCCCCAATGTCACAGGAGGCCCCCGGCGCGGCAGGTGCCCGCTGCCCGGATGTAGCAGCTCCGGCGGTTGCCTGTTCGCCTGCCGCTCAGCCCAGCCCGGCCGGCGCCCCGCCGCAGCACCCGCGCTAAGATCGCCCCTCGTGCCCTGCTTTCATACAGCCCCCGACCGGCAGGCAAGCAAGCAGCGCCCCGCCGGGCGAGCAGGCACCTCCCGGGGCACCCCGCGGAGCCCAAAGCTGAGGGGAGCCGAGCAGGCGCCAACACGGCCCCGCCCCGCTTCGCTGCCGGAGAGGTGTGAGCAGCGCCTGCGCCGGGGCCGAGAGGGCATGGCGGGAGGCGCCGCGGAGGGCCCTTGGGGGCCGCCCTGGGCCTGACCCGTGCTGGGCCTCCTGAGGCGAGCGCCGCGTCGGGTGGGGGAAGCGGCCGCCTGGGGAGAGTGTTTGTGAGGCTGCACGGTTTTGCTCGTGTAACTGTCTCCCCAGTTAGGAGGTTCGGAGGAGGTTAAAGGATGGAACAGGACGGGGTTTCAGCGCCTCGAAGAAAAACGAGAAATTCGGCATAAAACGGCCATGTTCGTGATTCTGCTGGAGACGCCGTGGTGAAAACCAGAAACCAGCTGTGTACGCAGCTTTGATGGAGAGCTTTAACACTGAATGTACACGATACGCTCTGGCAGGGATGTTTATAGCGAAATGATACATATATTGGCCGAGGTTAGGCAGGATTTTGTTCTTTGTTCCTTTGTTAGGTAAACAATTCCAAATAAGCAGTGGGGCTGCTTGCACCATAGCAGTAAGCGTTCCTACCTTGGCCTTGTGCTGTATTATGTTACAGAGAATCAGGACCCAAATGCCTATCATTGGGTGAGATCACCAGTCCCTCTGACATGTGGTTTCTTTCATAAAAGATATATCCAAAAGATAAATTTCTTTATGCATACGTGTTAAGAACTTTTGGTTTTGATTTTTTTTTTTTTTTTTTTTAGTTAGCGGGACCATTGACATTTCTGGAACCTAAGAGAAGGGAACACATTACATTTTCCATGTTAGAAGCAGAGTAACTTCAGGTGAATGCTAATGGTTTGTGTGAATGTGTACCAAAGTAGAATTCTGAAGTTAAATATGAATGAAATGATGGAGAACAAATATACTTAAGCAAACATCTTTTATTTCACTTACTAGTTCCAGTTACTCAGTTAGCACCTTACCAAGAATCATCTTGGATTGTCCCAGTCACAACAAATGCTAAAAAATGCCAGGGTTCCTCGTCCATCCTGCTACAGTCCAACCTTTTCCAGTTTGCTAGAGTCCATTTAATCTAGCTAACAAACAACCATGCACAAAAACTGATGCTGGCTGTTAGCCATGTTCAGTGCCTTATACACTGGACAGGTCACTGAGCGACTGCAGATCATGCTGTCTGTACAGTTTAACTGTTTTCCTTGGTGCAGTACATTACTCATCTGCCTCATTTGTTTAAGAACTGATAAAATAGGAAGGACCATAATTAGTGTGCATCAAGATTTTTTTAACTACTTCATTGCATAGTGGGGACAGAATAATTTGTGTCAGAAATAGTGTACTTGGCAGGACTAGGAAGGTCTCTCTCTGTACTTGGCACCAGTGAGGCCACACCTCAAGTACTGTGTTCAGGTTTGGCCCATGATTACAAGAAAGACATTGAGACCCTGGAGTGTGTCCAGAGAAGAGCAGTGAAGCTGTGAAGGGCCTGGGGCACAGGTCTTATGGAAGGAGCAGCTGAGGGAGTGGGGATTGTTTTGTCTGGGGGAGAAGAGGCTCAGGGGACACCATATCACTCTCAACAACTACCTGAAAGGAGGTTGTAATGAGGTGGGGGTCAGCGTCTTCTCTCACATAACTAGTGATGAGAGAGAATGGCCTTAAGTTGTGCCAGGGAAGGAAAAAAACTCATCTCAGGAAGAGTGAAGAGGAATTGGAACAGTCTACTCAGAGGTGATTGCTATCCATGGATGTGATCAAGGAAAGGGTTGTAGTGGTACTGGTTCAGTGGACATGGTAATGATGGATTGATAGAGCAGATGATCTTACAGGTCTTTTTCAACTTTAATGATTATATCCTCCATGATTTTCAGGTTTTCCCAATGAAAATATTGGTTTATCCATGCAGTTAAAAGTATTGAAAATAAATTGTACTGCTATTGCTTGTATGTCACAGAAATGCCTGAAACCTTAAGGGTTAGCCTGGAAGGTTATGCAGCTCACCCTTTAGTACAGTAGTTCAATTTTGCACAAGAAAAATACCATTTACCTAAGCAGCTGCAGAACAACCATGGAGAGACCAGGTAGGTGCTGGGTAGACAGTCATTAGCCACATGGGGCTACTGAGCAAAACTTTCCTCACATTACAACAGTTTGCTTTAGGCTGCGTGTCTGATGTATGGCTAAGCAGCCAAAGCTCAGAAACTTTGAGAAGCGTTTTTATGACCCGCTAAGATCAGGGCTACATTATTCCCACTAGGCAGGCATGTCTCAGGCAACTATTTTTAGGAAGTACATATGGATTTTACGTGCTTCTCAGGATTATTTTTTTAAGGATTTATACTTTTTGAGCTTTTATGAATTTAAAACCAATGTGCAAAATGTGTCATGCTTTTTATCTTTTTTTAAATAGATTTTAAGCATTGTATATGTCAGCCTTTAATGCCTGGGCCTGTGCAACTCAGCTTGTTCATTGTTCATATACATACCTTGCTATTCATGTTATGTAGATTATTGTATGTCATAATTAATTGTACAGACAAAGAAATAAATTGTGAAAGCAAGCAGAAAACAATTTTTCAGTATCATTTTAGAAGAAATGAGGTTATTCTGAAAGTACAGCTAGACTAAGCATTGCTGAAAATGCAATTTCACTATTTCTTGGTTTGGTGAATTCTGAGTATAAACACAAGCAGCCTCAGACTGCCTTGGTGCAGGATCTGTCGTTCATAGAAATACTTGCCTAGCTGTCAGATTTGTGTGCCTGGGCTGTGCTGTCAGCATTTATATGCTTATATGGGTACATACAATGCAGCATGAGTCTACATATGTGTTAATTTATAGTAATGATGTCATTATATTCGTCTTAGTTGAAGTCTAACAGTTTTCTATTGTACGTAAAGAATCCACCCATTCCCTTAAAGAGAGTATATGATAAATAGAAATTCGTACCACCCTTTCATCTGTTCATAGAATCATAGAATTGCTATGGTAGCTAATCTGTTGCTTACCTTCTCAGTCAGAAAGTAAATACATTTATTTCTTAAAGTTTAATCTTTTTCTCTTCATAGCTGTCAGTCAATTTTATGATGCTTTAGTTAGACTAGTTACCTCCTTTATTCTGACTGAAGTTACTATGTGTAGGTTTCTGCTGTTTAAATAAGTGAATCCATAAATCCTCAGGTGTTTCAACAAGTCATTGTGATGAACCAGTCCATTAAGTTCAGCAATGCTGAGAATCAAGTCCTTGGGTTATTTTGGTGTTTTATCATTTATTTTTTCTTCTGTACAGCCTCACTCATGCTTTCTGTCTACTTTGCTTGCTCTATCCTTAGGCTTAGGCTCACTTCAGCTTTTGGTTTCAGGACTTTTTCTAGATGCTTTTTCTATTCTGTGGCCTTCCTGTTTCTAAAGGCTTTATTTCCTAAACATTATCTGTTATTATAATCATAATAGACCATAAGAGGTTCCTCAAATTCCTGCTGTATTCCATTAGTTCTGGCTTTATTGTTATTACTATTTTTACATTAAAAGTGATCAGTTTTAGCCACATCTAATCTCCTGAAGAATAGGAATATGAAGTCATAATAAAATCAAAGACTATCTGAAGAATTTCACCCTTGAAGTTTGACAGAATCAGTTGAAAAAAATCAACAAAGGCACAATTACAGTCATGTTTGAAGTTACATATTTTAATTGGAGGAAAATAGGAAGGAAAGACTATTACATATGGTCACAGGTCAATTAATTATGAATTATTCTGTATCATCAAGGATATTTCTCTGTTAATCAAAACAATGAATAGACTGAAGATTTTCTGTGGGAGATAACAGTTCTGGTAAAAAGTCAAAAGCTTTTTGAAAACAATTCTTAGACAAAACAAATTTTAACTGTTGTAGTTTCCATGGAAATAAATAGGAGGCATTACTTTTGGAGCAGTCTACATATATGGTAAAGAAATGTTCTGTTTCTTCTTTCATTTAGTCCTGTGAGCAGTACAAGACGATAAAGTTTCTTGTCTTTATACATTCATTAAAAGTACACAATAATCCTGGTATTTTATAAAAGGTTAGAAGGAATTTACTTATGTTATATAGCATAACCTACTAGCAACCATAGAAGTAAAATGTCTGTGAAATAGAGTGCTAGAGATATGGCAAAGAAAACAATTAATGACTGGTTGTATGTTCAGTTACTAATGGAAGAATAGTTTTAAAGAATTTGTAATCTTGTCAATAAGTCAAAGAATAATATTAACACTGAGAACAGAAAAGCATTTTTTTAGTTCACTTGCTTTTATGTTTATAACTTATAATCATTAATTTATATTTAAAAAATACAAACTTTTTCCTGGATTTTTACAGTGCTATTTGTAAACTTAAAGTTATTAACCTTAATTTACAGAACTTTCACATTGATACTCTTACTATTAAATAATAATGAAAGTTTAATAAAAGAAGCTATATAGACTGCTTTAGCATTAATGTAGTTATAATTACTTTAAAGCAAGTAAATCTTCTCTTTAAAATAAGGACTTTCATTTTAAAGTGAGAGTACATTTTTACATTTTACATTTTAAAGTGAAAATACATAACTTTTTAATACAAAGAGTGAATAAGTGAATATGTGCTACTTAGCAAAAGTAAATTATCAGCAATAAAATGAAGTGAGTATTTCTTTCCTTTCCCTTTCTTGAAGTTAACCATTTTCTGATGGGGAATACGTTTACAAATATTTAAAATTCTGAAATTGTACCTGAACAGAATTTGTATAAAATCACATTTCCTTG